AGAAGAAGAAGAAGAAGAAGAAGAAGAAGAAGAAGAAGAAGAAGAAGAAGAAGAAGAAGAAGAAGAAGAAGAAGAAGAAGAAGAAGAAGAAGAAGAACCTTGCAACACTAGTCTTTCTTATTTGGATGTTGGCCTTTCCTGGATTGAGCTGCTGTCGCCAATATTGTTAATAAGTCTACTAGGTAGGTTGCAGGTGCAGATAGGTTGGGTCAGCCTAGCTACAAGGGCATGAGCACTGGGCGCTCATTAAACAACCTGTCTAGCCCCAAGGACAATGGTGCTGTTGTCCCACAGCTCTCAGTGGTCCAAGGCATCTACAATGGCGATGTAATGGCCAGGTCTGTGTACAATGCAGGCAGAGATCTGCAATGGAGGATGAAACCGCTCACCAGCCTGAGCATTGCGTATTGCTACTTGAAGGACCACAAAAAAAAAGCCTCCTTCCCTGGTATAATTACCATCCTCTGCCTGTAGAAAGGGAAGATCAGCATCAAGCTGAAGGGCAATTGCAAGAAAGCCCACCACGGTATAAAGCGGGCGGTGGGGGGAATGTGCAGACATATATTAGCTGCAGCCAGACCACAGAGATTGGGGGGAATCTCAGGCTGGAGAGTTTGATGCTGGCCAACAATTTGCGGACCAGCCAGCTGGTGTTGCAAGCCCAAAATGTCGTCGGCTGTTTGCTGGTCAGTCACTTGCTGATCACCCGTGTGGTCTATGCCTTGTTGGGCAAACATTTGCGATTTAGCCAAATGATGCTGGCTAGCCATTGGAGATCACCCATGTGGTCCACGCCTTGTGGGGCAGTTTGCAATTCGGGCAAATCATGTTCTAATCCCTGAATCTTTGGGGCGGCATCCTGAGTGGGGACCACCACGTTGAATTGGGAGTGTCCCCTGGGTGCGGACTAACTGTATCCTCTGTTCTGCAGGTGACTCGTGAATACCCAATGGTGCAGGGCATAAAACACAGTCTCGTGTCTGCCTGCAGGAAGTTGGACTGTCTGCAAGGGGGAGCGGCAACTGTCATATGTTCTGCCGTCACTGTTGCCGTTGGCCGTTGGTGGTGATGTTCTTGGTGTGATTCTTGCCTTGCTTTTGCTGCCATGGATGATGTGGTGGTCAGCTATGCAAGCAAAAATGAATCATTTGGCGTCGATATCATTTGATGTTGTGCTGGTGTCGTTGGAGGTATTTTGCCTGGAGTTGATGTAATGGTTGGTGTTGAAATGGTTGCTGTCACTCGTTTTAGTTGATGCATTTTCATTGGTGCTGTTTGGAAAGAGCCTGTCTCAAATCTTCTTCTTTGTTGTCGTTGTTGTTGTCATCATCGCCATTCCTTCTTCTTCTTCTTCTTCTTCTTCTTCTTCTTCTTCTTCTTCTTCTTCTTCTTCTTCTGGTTCATTGTTCACGTGGTCCCCTCATTGCATTTTTATCCCCCTCATGCGCATTCATTCTTGAGTTCTGAGCTCCTGTTGAAAGGCATTCCACGATGCAGACCCCAAATTCGAATCTCACGGTCAAAGTCTCGGGCCAAAATAAGCCAAGTCGGCCAGTTTCACAAAGGTCACAGTCAGGTACCCCAGGGGCCAAGTCCAACAGGTTCCCGGTGGGGGGTCACATCTCAAAGGCAAAAGTTGCATTCCGTAAGCAAACGTCACGTCTCACATTGGAAGGTCATATCCCACAGGCAAAGGACACTTCTCCAGGCAAAAGTCGTGTCTCAGAGGCAAGAGTCACATTCCACAGTAAAAAAATCATGTTCCACAGGTGAAACGTCGTGACTCACAGGCCCAAGCAGCAGCACACCAATGAAAATTCAGGAAAAAGTACCAGGCCTTGACATTCTGAAGAAAGCAGGCCGTGGGCATGTGGTACCAGTAGCAAGTCAAGCCACAAGAAGCAGAGGGTGGGACGAGTCGAAGCTCAGTCCAAGTCAATCTTTGACTGGCCAGCCACATTTCAAACAGATGGCTCATTCGTGAGAGGTGTGGAAGAGCTGCTGAAGCACTTGTGCGCTATCTGCGAGTGGCATGCGTGAGAGCCCTGTTGGGCAGCGCTGTGCTGAGGAAGGAAGGCAGCCACAGCCGCATAGCTAGGAGTAGGAGATAGAGCCAGGTAGTAGCGGATGCATTCAGAGTCAAGATCTTCAAGTAAAGAGAGTGAGAGGGAGAGCGAGAGGGCGCCATCAGGCAGATTGGGATCATGCCGTTATGATACTCCGCGCCGGTAGCGCCGAACTGCCGCAGAGCGCAACTGCGGGGTAACGACGCAGCCAGGTGAAATCACACCAGAGCCGACGAGTGAGCAGCCACCATAGCTGGTCAACGGCGATCGGCTGACCTACTTGACGCGAGGCAGCAGGGACCGAAAAAGGCGAATCGGTCATGTGTGGACTCCGGAATGGAGCAGGCTGTGCACACGGGCATGGAGGATTCGCGATCGGACTTGGCGTGGAGATGAATTTAGTGACGAGGACAACGGAGACAAGGTACAGCGTAGACCAAGAACAACGAGGCGGGGCTAGGTAGGGGTTGGCGACAACCAAGATGAGACACAGACGGAAACGGACACAACAGGCATGATTAGGTAGGGCATCCCGACGCTTGGCGCAAAGGATTGGTGGGTTGTGGGGGAGACTGGGCGGCAAGGCCAGCAATCTGTGGGTTGTTACCTGAAGGAGTTTCGTTCTTAGCAGCGGAAACGGGGAGAAAGAGTGTGAGAGGCTACAAACAGAACGAAGGGGGGAGGGGGGAGAAAAGCAGGGTTCGCGACGCAGCATCGACTGGGACGTAAGTGCCTCACAAAGAGGTGAGTGGTCGTTCTTTGTAGCGGAAACAAGGAAAAGAGTGTGCGAGGCAACAAACGGAGAGAAGAGGGGAGAGGGGAGAAAAGCAGGACTCAAGATGCTGCATCAACCGAGGCATATGTGCTTCACGGTGAGGTGAGTGAATTCCTTCTCTCTCATGCCACCTTTTGGCCTCACAAGAGGAAAGGACCGAGTGGAGGGAGTAGCAACAAAAGACGGAGGGGGGAGTGAGGGAGGGATTGTAGAGTGGTCAGCAGTACGGAAACTTAACGGAGAGGAGGGGGGAGAAAAGCGGTGCTGAAGATGCAGCCTCCTCTAGGCAATACGAGACAACTGTGACGGAGGGGGTGAGTGTGGGAGGATTCATTGAGAGGGATAGTTGAGTGGCCAGCTGACCAAGTGGAGGAGGGCATCAGAGTAATGACGGGGCAGAGACAGAGGAAGGTGGGTGAAGGAAGGATCGTAGGGTGGCCAGCTGCACGACACCTCTGCTCGTCCCAGCCATCCCCGGGTTTTGCAAACAAAAGAAATGGGAAAAAAGTGCAGGATACTGAAATGTCTCACCCTGGGAAATAATTGACACAGATCGACACAGATTTAGGACGAAGAAGAAACGAATAAGCACACAATAATAGGAATTGAAAAAACAAAATATTCAAGAGAAGAGAATTGCACTGAAGAAAAATGTGATTACAGTACCAATAAATACGGCCAAACCAAGATCCACAAAACGAACTGATCCAACAACAGGCGTTAATCACAGATCCGAGAAAACCATCACCATGAGAACGACGAACAGGGAACAATGTGCGCATAAATGTTTGGACTCGATGCTCGGGCGATGAGACACCTGGCCGACCAGCACCTCCGCCGCATAAGATGGTCTCACCAGAACCACACCACGCACATGCCAAAACCCTCCGCCGCCGCACCAATGGCCCTGGGAAAAGGTGAGGATCTGTGGCGGTGGAACGAGGACACGGGGGTTCTGATGGAAGAGGAGAAGGAAATGGAGGCACGAGGCACAATACACCACCAGGCAGTAGCACCCCCTCCACCCCAGGAACCAGATAATCACCCGGAGCAACCCACCTGGGCAGACAGACTCAAGGACCCGCTCAAAGGTCAGTCAATCACCATCCATCGGGGCAGGAGGGCCCCAGGACCGGGAACTTGAACATTCCTCTGGACGGGTTACCACCGGCTCGGGCCTTTTTCTTGTCCAAATTCCTGATTCCGTCAGAAACTAAGGTGGTGACACAGGGGGGGAAGAAGGTCATGGTCAAAACCTTTCCGAATAGTGGTATTGCCTGTAGAGATGAGACTTACATGAAACACGCCAACAATGGGGTGTTTCATGATGACGCCGCCTTCAAGTCGGTCAATGACAAGGCTAAGTGGATTGGCCGTCGACTGGAAACCCTCAAAGGCAGCACTGATTTGGCCAGGGACCAATTCTTGATTCAACCCGTTACGAATTCACTATTCACGGTGTTATGCATGCATGAATCTGACAAAATGGTGATTGATGGCTGGAAGCGCCTACGCTGTGAGCGGTCAGAAGTCCGGATACATGCATGGGTGCCACAATGCCGATTAGGGCCCGAGGAGAGGAGGGCACAATTGATGCAGGATTACTACTGGGTTGAGCTTCGCCATATCCTAGTACAAATTCAGGCGGCCTTTGTGTACGATTTCGGGATGATGTACGATATCGTCGCCTTCATGGGCCCCCTCCACTCCTTCGTCGCCAAAAGGGATGATTACCTAATGCTGGCCCTAGACTTCCCCCAGGGCCAGCCTTTCTCCCTCGATGATGTGATTCCATACTGGATATATGATCCACACCACTCACAAGCTGCGGCCATGGTGCCATAAATGCAGGGCATATGGCCACCTAAGTACGGAGTACATCTGCCCGCTCCACCCGCAGAAGCGGGCCCGGCCAACTGGGAGGTTACTAAGAGACCCTATCAAAGTAACCCGATGGCGCACGGTGGACCCGGGCCATGAGGGATGGGTATATGTCGAGGACCAAACAAAGGACTGTACACCGGTGGGGTGGGTATGGGAAAAAACAGGAGAGCTGGAATGGGAGTCGCGCCCCCCCGAACAAATGGGTCCCTCCCAGATCAGTGGAGGAGAAGGTGGAGGAGAAGGTGCAGGTGGCAGAGCCGAACCCACAGGAGAGCCGAGAAAATGCAGGCTGGAAGACAGTGGGAAGGAAGGGTGTTAAGGAGATATGGGTTCAGAAGAAGCAGGTGGAAGATGGAGGGAACTCGGGAAGGAATAACTGTGGGAGCCTGGGCCCGGCGGTGGTACAACATTTCTTGGACCAGGGAACGTCCTCTTCCTCCCCACCAGGACAGGCACATATGGTGGAGCACAAGGGGCCCGTCCTGGAAAGAAACGACTGTAGGGGCCTGGGCCCGGCAGTGGAGCAATATATCTGAGACCAGGGAACGTACTCCCCACCGGCATAGACACATATGGTAGAGCACAAGGGAGTGAAGGATGGCTCAGAGGATCGAGAAGGGGGGTCAGCCAATGCCAGCAGGACGTTAAAAGACCATTGCAATAAGGAACGCGGAGCTGACCCCCGCCCCACGCTGACGGATACGGGACAGGCGGAGATGCAGACCGGGATGAAGGGAATGGAGGTGGAGCCCGACCGGTCCGAGGAGGGGAGAATGCACTCACAATGAAAGCAACAGAAGGGGGATCACAGTCAGACCATATGACAGGCCGAGTGGCAGAGGCCGACCCCTTCCAATCAGCTTTCCGCCCTGGGCCGATGGAGGTCGATCCCCTCCCGGAAAGCACCAGTGTATCACCAGATGGACTATCCCCGGAAAGGGATGAGGAGGCACTGGGTGAGGGGGCACCGCCTCAGCACCTTCCGATTGAACAAAAGCTAGTTGCTATAGCGGACTGGCTGATGGCCAACCTGAAGGCAAAATGTGGCCCCTTTACAGACGACTTTTGGGATAAAACGTATCTGGATCTGTTCCCCGTGCTTGACAGAAGTCCCTCCCTGAGGTGTGTGTTAGAAAATGGACTACAACCGGGTGTGAGTTGGACAGACGCATGGCACACATCGGCCTGTAGTTTTTTCACGATTCCAGCCACCTCACTCAGCTACTGCAGACCGGCCAGGGATGGAAGGTGAGCAAAAACAGACTAAGGAGACAGCGCAACCGCCTGCTCCGCGCCCTGACCCGGCACCTCCGGACCCGGAGGAGAATGCGCCACTGGACCTGGTGTGCAATCAGACTCGACTTCTTCACACTTGTCATGCATGCAAACAGCGAAACAGCAAACTGGCGACATGCGCCCACACAGTACTCAAAGATATCGTAACCAGGTAGGAGTTCCCTTCAAACTGGCTATGGCGACTGAGCGCCCACACAACTCACTGTTCGCACTCTGGATCACCCTGGATGTCCCACATGCAACACTCTACACGCAACACACACACACACACACACTACTATAGCTATGGCAGCTATGGCTGCCACTATCCTATCGCTACACTACACTTCACTGCCTCTTCGTCTTCGGGCGCACTGCAGACCTCCTCGCACAAGCTGCTGAGGCAGCGCTTCCGCATGGCATCCGCAGGAATGAACGAATGGCTGGACGCAGCCTCTTGATTTATACTTCTGTGCGGCGTTGGTCTGCCCTGTATCCCTTGGCCCACGATGTGCACAGTCCCAGACGGTACTTGCTTGACTGGACCGAACTGGGCTACCTGGGACTGCTGACTCTACGTAGTGGACCTACACCACTTGCCCACTTGCCTCGGCCTAAACAGGGGCTGACTCCGAAAGGCCAGTTCTAGAAACTTCTACTTTGGCCTTTCGGTACTGTAGCAGCTACGACTTTGCCCTTTCAGGTACGTAGCAGCTACGACCTTGACCCTTCAGACATCCTACAGCTACGACTTCGGAACTGTCTAGACTCCTACCCTACAGGTCTACAGTTTGATTCCCTTCTAAGCTGTGACCTACGACAATCTACCTACCACTGGTGTTTCAACAGGTCGCAGGTTCAAATCTACGGGTTGTCATCAATACTGTACACAGGTAAGATGGGGAACTAGGGATCGAGCCCTGGGATCTGCATTTGCTACTGCGAACTGGTGAATACCGTTTCAGGTGCGCAGAAAGAAACTTAGAAACGTTATTGAGTTGGGACGTGATACGGACCCCCTCTCCCAGACAGCGTCATTGCTGATCCCGGCGCGTAAAAGAAATGGGAGATGGGAGGTGGGTTTGTCTCCATTTGAAAACGGCAGGCAAGGGGGCGTCACTTTACAGGGCTGGTCCTCTTTCTGGGCGGAACCGCGGAATTGCCTATCTGAGGCAGCGGCAGGGATCCTGCAGATGCAGCTGGAATCACACATTGTGGAGACACTATCGCCGGGGGCACAGGCCACAGCATCGATGGCATCGGGGCCCCGCAAAACCGCATCTAGAGACGACTACATACGCTATGACCCGGACAAAGACGCCAGTGGTCCACTCATCCTCAACTTTTGGACCTGCAGACAGTCAAGCTCAGGTCCAGTGATACCTGGACAGAGCAGGATGTTCAGAAATGTTTATGTGCCATCCTCAGGCTGGGTCTCAGGGCAGGTGGAACAGCGTGGGACTGGGAGCAGCTACCATGGGTCTGTCTAGGAACATGAGAACCCCGACACAATGGACCCGGTCAAACCGGTGTATGGGAAGGACAGAATTTGGAACCAATGCCAGCGAGCAGCAGACTTGGATCTACGATCCTTGAATGTGAACGGTCTGGCGTCGTGCAGAATAGACAAGCAGAATGCAATATGGGACCTGATGAGAGGGGTGGGGGGTAGGAACTGGCCGGATATAGTATGCATCCAAGAGACACACCTCATGGACACCCTGAAACACAACCGCATTCATAAGATGGTGTGGCCACATAAGGCAT